CGAAAGGTTCACCCATGAAAGGTGTTATGAGATTTGGTATGAAGGGGAAACTTAGTCCCCGGTATGTTGGCCCTTACAGAATATCGAAAAGGGTAGGTAATGTAGCTTATGAGTTGGAGCTACCACATGAGTTAGCTGCGGTTCATCCGGTCTTTCACATCTCCATGTTGAAAAAGTGTATGGGCGATCCTTCATTGATCATACCAACTGAAGATATTGGGATCAAAGATATCTTATGTTATGAAGAGATTCCTGTCCAGATTCTAGATTGCCAAGTTCGCAAGTTGAGAACAAAGGAGGTAGCATCAACCAAAGTTCTTTGGAGGAATCGGTTTGTTGAGGAAGCCACTTGGGAAGCTGAAGAGGTTATGAAGAAGAGATATCCACACCTCTTTGAAATCAGAGAAATTCCAGATCAAGGTACTAATTCTTTTCTTAGTACTCTTTAATTATGAGATTGCATGTCGTATTTGCATTGCTTGGTGGGTGTTTGATCTGAATGTTAGATGTTACACCCTTAGCCTACTAAGAGTAAGCTCATTCGAGGATGAATGTTCCCAAGGGGAGATATTGTAACACCCCGTAACTAGAAAAGAAGTTTAAAATTGGAAATAGTCATTTTTGGAAAGAATATAAAAATCTGGAAATTTGTTAAGTGTGTTAAAGTTGAGTTTTTGGTCAACTTCAAATGACCATAAATTCTAGCTCAGGACTAGTTAAGTGTGGTTCCAGATATTGTAGGAAATATCTTGGAATGATATTTCCAACGCCGCCGAGTTTGCGCAATTCCGAGTTGGTATGAGTGAGATATTCCCATTGGAAGTTGGGTTGTTCGAATAAGAAAATGTGCAATTCGGATTTTTAAAGGGTGTTTTGGTCTTTTCCTTACCCAATTATTTAATTTCGTTTTTGGGTAATTAATTTGGGTCTAAACTGATCTTAGTTAGTTTACGCTTTTGTAAAAAGAGTTAGGGTTCAGCTTAAGAGAGTGAGTGAGTTAAGGCGTGGGCTGGTCTTCATGCGACAAGTGGGTGTCCGAGAGGAACGCATTTGAAACGGGGTAAGCTGCTTGAGAGAGAGCTTATCCCCCTTAGGGCTTAGCCTAGTCACAATTACTCTATGAATTTTCTATTGAAAGTATGTATCTAATAATCTAGCTTAACCCGTATTCCGTCACATCCCAAGGATCCCCTCTCATTACTTTGAAAACCTTGTTTATTTTGTTGTTTTTGCTTACAAGTGACAAAACCTCATTGTTAATTGACACTCTTATGTCCTCCTTTGATTTACAATGTTTTTAATCGTTAATGTCTTTAGCTACAATTAGTTAGAACTAAATTTTATTTCTCTATTAATTCTCAAAACCACACCCTTGGGAACGATCCTAACCCTTAGTTAGGTTATTATACTATTGCACAATCGTAGACACTTGTATCGGAAGTTGTGTCCTTGATTACGCATACATCAAAATGGCGCCGCTGCCGGGAAGTGGTGTTATTTGAGAATTCCTAGATTAGTAGAATTTTTGTTCTTCTTAGTTGTAGTCTACTAACTTAATTTTCAGTTTTGTTTTGAGTGTTTGTGTGTTTTAACAGACATATGAGTGTGAACGGCAAAAATAGCTGCCAAGTAAGCCATCCAGCGGGTTATGCTTTTCATCGAGACGATATTGATGATATTAATAGTGGGTACAACCCTGCCCAAGTGGGTGAGATGGGTGCAATTTGCATGCCACAAGCAGATGGAAGTGCAACATTTGAAGTTACTAGCACAACACTCCATCTCATACATTCAAGAGGTTTATATGGAGGGTTAGAGCATGAAGATTCGTATGAACACATACGAAGCTTCATAGAAGTATGCACCCCTCTGTCATTCAAGAATCTATTGCAAGAGTTCATACGGCTTCGCTTATTTCCATTATCATTAACCGGGGGAGCCACTAAGTGGTTGGTCGAGCTTCCTAAGAACTCCATCAAGTCATGAGAGGAGCTGGTTATGGCTTTTCATGAAAGATTCTTCCCTTCATAAAAAATGATGAAATTGAGAGATGACATTCAAAATTTTAATCAAAAGGAGGGAGAACCAATTTATGAATCATGGACAAGATTTAAGAAATTTTTGCGAAAATGTCCAACGCATGGACTGCCGAGTGAGTTATTGCTCCAATACTTTTAGCGTAGTCTGGATTCGGTTAAAAAGGGATAGCTGATAAGCTGGTGTAAGGAGGAATAATGTTACAATCGTTTGAAGTAGCCTCATTCCTCCTAGATGGGATGACTAGAGTAAATCAAGCATGGTACACAAAAAATGACCAAGTTTCCCCACTGTGCTTCAGATTAACGCAAGAACAACTCGATAAAGAAAGGGAGAGGGACGAAAACATCAAAAATATGTTGTCTCAAATGGAAGTGATACAAGAGCATATGAAGGGGACGTATGGAGTATTTCGAGTTGAGGAGGTTTCTTCTTCTGACTACTTAAGACCAGGGCAGAATCAAGGTTGGAACTCCAAAAGAGTTAAGGGTGGTTCTTCATCCGATTACTTAAGACCGGGGGAGAATAAATGTTAGAACTCCACAAGATGTGAGGAGGGTTTCCACCCACACTATCAACAGCGGGGTGGAAATCAAGGTTGGAACCAATGAGGTATTGCCAATTAGGCTGAGCAAGATGACCATGAGGAAGACCACACTCAATTGAGTGAATGCCCGAAATCAAAAGGGAATGGAAGTAGTCCTTGGGTAAAAGATTTATTGTCACGCATACTTGATAAATTGAGGGCTCTGATGATTTGCTAAAAGGGATGAGAGATGACTTTTCATCATTGAACAGTAAAGTGAATTCTCATGCTGATGCCATCAAAACACTAGAAGGTCAATTGAGTCTATTATCAGCTCAATTAACATCCAAGACACTGATGGAAGATAATGAAAGAGGGCTGGCTGTAGTTACCCGTAGTGGAAAGGTGGGAAAAGGGAATGTGATGGAGGATAAGGACCCTCGAATGCAGGAAAAGAGCCAGGGTATAGAGGAATGAGAATTGCCTATTCCACAAAACCTTGCCAAAGAACCACAAAAGGATGTAGAGCAACATGTTCAAGTTCTAAAAGTCACGCACCCTTTACCCAAAATACCTTCACCATTTCCTCAACGTTTGAAAAAGAAGAATGAAGATGAGAAGTTCAAATTTTTTTTATCAGTATTCAAGAACTTATCAATTAACCTTCCTTTGGTGGAAGCATTGTTGGAAATGCCGAGATACGCCAAATTCATGAAAGAGCTGGTTACAAAGAAAAGGAGCTTAGAGTATGAAATGATTGAGGTGCCCCATAGATGCAGTGCAATTACGACAAATGAGTCAATCACTAAGAGAGAAGATCCTGGGACATTCACAATTCCATGCACAATTGGCATGCTCCAATTTGCTAAAGCTTTGTGCGATTTAGGAGAAAGCATTAACTTTTTGCCCTATGCAATATACAAGCAACTAGGTTTGGGTAAACCAAAGGCAACCACAATGAGACTCTTTATGGCTGATCGATCAATCAAGAACCCAGTGGGGATACTCTATGACATATTGGTAAAAGTATATCGGTTCATCTTTCCGGCTGATTTTGTGATTCTAGATTGTGAGATCGATGCTGAAATCACCATTATTTTGGGAAGGCCATTCCTAGCTATTGGGAGAGCATTGGTAGATGTCGAGAGCGGAAAATTGAAAGTCCGTGTGAATAATGATGAGGTGACCTTCAATATCTGTAAATCCATGAAGCAACCAAGTAATATCCATGTGGTGTCTAACTGAGGATGTTATAGATGAGGCAGTGGCAAATGTGAGCCATTTAATGCGCAAGAATGAACCCCTTGAATCTGTACTTGCCAATTATGATGAATCTGAAGTTCAAGGCTATGAGGAAGTGGTAGCTGCCTTATTAGGGTTAGGAGTATATTCAAAGAATCCAATCAAGTTGGATATCGATCGGAAAAACAGAGAAAGTCCTCCTGCAAAGCCATCAACAAAAGAACCACCGAATCTGGAGTTAAAAGCCCTACCCTCTCACTCAAATATGCCTTTTTAGGAGCCAATAATACTTTACTAGTGATTATCGCAGCCGATTTGCTTGAAAGGCAGGTGAAATTGCTTATTGATGTACTGCGAAAGCATATAAAAGTTATTGGATGGACAATAGCCGATATAGTAGGAATTCCTCCTGGCATTTGTACTTAAAAGATTCGGCTCGACAGTAAATGTAAACCTAGTATGGAGTATCAACAGAGATTGCACCCTCCAATGCAAGAAGTGGTAAGAAGATCATCAAGTGGCTGGATGCGGGAGTGATCTACCCTATTGCAAATAGTAAGTGGGTAAGTCCGGTGCAATGTGTACCAAAAAAAAGAGGTATAACTGTAGTCCCTAATGCAAAAGGAGAACTTTTGCCGACAAGACCAGTGACTGGGTGGAGAGTATGCATGGACTATCGAAAGCTTAACTGTCACGACCCGATTTCTCGAGTCATGATGGCACCTACTATACCCTACCAGTAGGTAAGCCAACCCGTAAACCAAAACATCAAGCAATGAGCAAAAGGGCAGAAACTAGCGAAAACAATAATCTAAACAAGGATAACAAGGCGGAAGCAACCCAAAATAAATATATACATAAATCCCTCCCAAAACCTGGAAGTCACTAGTACCTCAAATATGCCTTTTTAGGAGCCAATAATACTTTACTAGTGATTATCGCAGCCGATTTGCTTGAAAGGCAGGTGAAATTGCTTATTGATGTACTGCGAAAGCATATAAAAGTTATTGGATGGACAATAGCCGATATAGTAGGAATTCCTCCTGGCATTTGTACTTAAAAGATTCGGCTCGACAGTAAATGTAAACCTAGTATGGAGTATCAACAGAGATTGCACCCTCCAATGCAAGAAGTGGTAAGAAGATCATCAAGTGGCTGGATGCGGGAGTGATCTACCCATGGATAGAGTATCTAGACTCATGGCCCTCAGATAGTATCAACTGTATCAAATCCCCAACTCTCGGAACACAAATGCGGTCGGCGAATCTCAACACTCCATCAGGATCTAAGGTAGCCTGACCACCATCACCCGCT